ACCCATACAATGTATTGTTGGCTATTGCTACAAACATACCTGTTACTTATGACTGGTTTTGTGCTCCAGGATCACATAGTAGAAGAGTATCGATATTGCCGTACAATTAATCGGATATTTGACCAATTAATGCAATATATTTACAATATGTTTGATTTTATGTTGATATAAAAATCACATGAAATAGCATTTAAAGGAACACTCCACTATTTTTGAAAATAGGCTCATTTTCCAACTCTCCTAGAGTTAAACAGTTGAGTTTTACCGTTTTCGAATCCATTCAGCCGATCTCCGGGTCTGGCGGTAGCACTTTTAGCTGTAGCTTAGCATAGATCATTGAATCTGATTAGACCGTTAGCATCTCGCTCAAAAATGACCAAAGAGTTTTGATATTTTTCCTATTTAAAACTTGACTCTTCTGTAGTTACATCGTGTACTAAGACCGACGGAAAATGAAAAGTTGCGATTTTCTAGGCCGATATGGCTAGGAACTATACTCTCATTCCGGCGTAATAATCAAGGAACTTTGCTGCCGTACCATGGGTGCAGCAGGCGCAAGGATATTACGCAGCACCTGAAAATAGTCCCCTGCATGCTCCCTGTGCAAGCATGTGGTCACGTTAGTTATGTTGACGGAAGTTAGCCTATTTTCAGGCACTGCATAATATCATTGCGCCTGCTGCACCCATGGTACGGCAGCAAAGTTCCTTGATTTAGTTCAGTTATTAGTTCTTTAGTTATGCAAAAAAAAAAAGTTTAAAATGTCATTCATATATGTAAATTTTGCTATCTATTAACAAGTTAGTTTATGTTAGTGTAAAATTAAATCAATAAAATATACATTTAGTTGTGTTAAGTGTTAACGTCCATTGTAAATTACAATGTATTACACTTCTGTACTTCTGCTTGAAAAGACTCTTTGGTCAGTGAAGCTTAAAATAAAATATCAAAATAAAAATAAAAATAAATTAAATCCTTGTTAACTATTTCAGGTCAAATAAATAGAGACTAGAGATGCACCGATTGCAATTTTCTTGGCCGATTCCGATTTCCGATTTTTTGGAAGTGTGACCTGCTGCCGATACCGATTTTTGTCAATTCCGATTTTCTTTCTAAGAACTATAATTGACAGCATATACAAACAAAAATATATGCAAATTTCAATGCAAAAATTATTTACATAACAAAAGAAATTAATAAACATTACAATTCCCCCAATCTGGACTAAGTTACAGATTTTCTCTCACTTAAACAACTCTCAAAATAAAGTGCTCTGTGACTGGAAAGAGGAAGAAATAGTTCACTTAAAATGAGTTGCTGTATGTAACAAAACAGTTGTCATTTCCTACTATGTTTATAAATGGTCATTTTTTCCCCCCTAACCTTATTAAATGTGTCATCTTTCACGTCAAAAAGTACTTTGTTTCAATGAATTTAGTTAGAATAATAAGAAACTGTAGGGTTGTTACCATTCAAATGAAATTAGTATTAACAAACTCTTATCTTTCCACTGCATAGGAAACAGAAGCTGCAGCTGAAGTGGCATTAGATGCATTTACACAGACAGTTTGATGAAGGTTTGGTTATGGAAGGTTATGGTTTGGTGCCATAAATGCATTTACACTGCAAAATTTCTAATTTTATAAGATCAAAGTTACATATTTTTTTTTAAACACAAATAAATGTTGAAAAAATGCAATGATACTTTTAAATATGACTAAACCACCAGTAGGTGGCGGCAAATGTCTGTTTTAATGAGTGAGTCATTTATTCATTCATTCAACCGATTCTTTCAAACGGCTGATTCATTCAAAAACGAGGCAAGTGACTGTTCTTATGAATGGGCCACTGAATCATTGACTCACTCGATTCATTCAAAAACGTGGATTCATTCAGTAATGAAACACCGCTGTGTGTTGCTCAGAGACACACAACAGTCCTGCTGTGGCTTTGACCGGAACTATTTTCATCAGCGAAATTGAGAAAAAAACTTTAACTTCTTGTTTATTGAAATACTATTGTATAAAATCAGTGTCACATTGCAATCGTGTTGATATTGATATTAGGGGAAACATCATGGTCGTATAATGTTGCTTACCTAAATCATATTTTGTAAATATCTTTTTTTTTTCTAGTCAAGTCAAGTCACCTTTATTTATGTAGCGCTTTTAACAATACAGATTGTGTCAAAGCAACTGAACAGCATTAATTAGGAAAATAGTGTGTCAATAATGCAAAATTACAATAGTAATTTTTACTACAATAGTAATTCTACCGCAGTATGAATCTATACATTTCTGTGAGTAACTTTGTGTGTGCTGTTTCTCTCACACACTCACTCAGGCAGTGCAAGCCTCATCTGGCATGACATAAATATTTGATATTGATATGATAAATATGAATTCGCCGTTTACACTGAATTCAAATCAAATTAGAATCATTCTCACACGAAACGACATGTTTACACGCGACTGTGAGTGTGCGCGTGGCTGTGACGTCATTGTCTGCGCCGCTGGCAATAAAAGGATCGGCTCGGAATCTGCAAGACGTGAGACTGACCGGCCGGTCACCGATCCGGGCTGGTCATGCGAAAAATTGACCGATTCCGATCACTGGCCGGTCAATCGGTGCATCTCTAATAGAGACACATACTGAAACCCATCAAAAGAATGAAAACTCTCCAGACCCGTAATTTATCTTTCAGCTCCATTAGATGTGCTGCTGATATGAATGAATATACATCATATCATAAGATTGATCAGCTGCCTAAATCGAGAGAGACACTCACCTCCTCCTCCAACACGTCACAGGCCAGTCTTATTTTAGACACGTCGGTCCAGTGAGGCCCCGCCTTCAGCTTCCTGGCCCGCAGACTCCACAGCTTGACGGCTGAGTTATCGAAGCCGGCTGCCAGCAAGCGGCTGTCCGCAGACACCTCGGCCGTGTTCAGCAGCTGATCCGTGTGCTGGAAGGCGTAGAAGCAGACGGTGGTGAGCGAAGGCGCACCTTCCCGCACGCGCTTTATGCAGTCCTGCAACGCCTCCAGCGCCGCCTCGTTCTGAGGTAACCCAGCCGTGACCTCCACACGCTCCGCCCCCTCCACCGCAGCGGAGGAAGAGGAAGTGGAGGTTGTGTTTCCCGCTCCTATCCCTGCGCCGTACAGCTGGTAGTCGGTTCTGCGCGCTGCTGTCACCTCCACCTAAGACAACATGTGAGTAATGATACTAATTACAAAGAAAACAAAGCCCTTTGTGATGTAGGTCAACTGGTTATACATAATTATATATATATATATGTATATATACAAAAAATGTAAAAATACAAAATATAATAAATATACATGTACATTTGTTTTTTAAACGTCTGTGTATATATCAAAAAATCACGTGTATAATAATAAATAGAATGGCTGAGTGTAAATAAAATATAAAAGTCAATAAAAATCTATGTAATTACAAAGGCAATATAAATTATAATAAAATTAAATATGTACATTTGTTTTTTGATTTGTTTTATATACATATTTAGAAAGTGTTATTATATATATATATATAGGTTATTATTTTCATATATATATATATATGCGTATGTATATATGTACGTATATAAATATGTATGTGTGGACATGGCCTAAATCTTAAATTTATCGATTACAGTTCTTTTGAAAAAAACTGACTGTACTTGTTTTAATAAGCGAGTAATATAAATTTAATAATTGCACATCACTCCACATGATGGGTCAAGTGACATAATTGTGGCATAATTCCCACTGTTACGATAATTATGTTTTTAATAATAATATGCAGTATACAACGTGCACTACAAAGTATTCAGAAAGTAGTACACTAATATTTCATTCCAAACACTGGTTTATCCCTCTTCCTAACAAACACAAGAAGCAGTTTCAGTGATAATGTAACAATTTAGAACAAAATTTGTGCATTTGCTGAGTAACTGACACTTTATGGAAGCATTTAAATCAGTGCCACAAAGAAAAATAGGAAATTAAACTTGGTCAGTCTCGTCGTAAAACAGTTTTTAACAGTAAATTAACTGACCTGAGGCGTGACGGCTCCTCGTAGCAGGTCTACGATTGCTTTCTGCTCAGGGTCCTGCTGGAAGAACGAGTGGAAGCGACTGTAAAACGAGTCTACCGCCCCCTTCAGGCCACACCGCACCATGTCCAGGTGCAGGTAGAGGAAGAGCGGAAACAAGACGCCGCTCACCTCCTTCACTAACAGTGCTTCAGCATCTGAAACACAGAAAACGGCTGTTAAAACCAGATTACGTTTCCCTCCAGTGGGCGCAGTTCTCAGAGTAATATGACACGTTGCGCTCTACTTTTGAGTCCTTAAACGCTTGTTTTTTGGGTCGACAGCTTATAAAAATTATTCTGGGTTTTTTAGCTTGTTTGCTGTACACTTTGGCACACAGCAGCTTTTAGACATTGTTCTGTTTTTTGTTATAAGTCAGAAATGACAAGGAGGCAGCTTCCCGCAATACAAAGTCAATGGAGAGGGTTGGGTTGTTTCCCCCCGTGGACATGGCCTAAGTGCTCTCTGTCTCTATTAGGAAAGCGTTTGTGAGGAGTTGATCTCTCACCCTGCAGGAAGGAGCGCAGTCTGGAGAACTGGGTCTCGTACTGCTGCGGGTCAGAGTGACACGGGGCTGCAGACACCACATTCGCACAGCTGGACTCCGTCTGAACTGCTCACAGCAGAAAGAGAGAGAAATGTGAAATCATTCCGAGTTAAAGACCCATGTTGATTTAAAGTGCAGTCACCTGTCAGACTGGCTGCCATCTCCTCAGCGGACTGGGAGAGTTTGGCCCCCTTCAGAGACCCATCTGTGTCTATGTACTGCCTCCTCTTCAGGTACTGGCTCACCGCATACTGGATCTGCTCCGTCCGCACCCGCTTCATCTCCTGGTGGAGACACGTAACACACACACACACAGCCTCATATATCTCTGTTCAAGCAGCCATTAATGCTGCGCAATGCAAAAAATAAAACAACAACAACATATAGACTAAGGCTGATGATACACTGGGCAACTTTGGGAAATGTTGCCGTCAACAAACAACCAGGTGAGACACAGAGCCCACGACCGATCTAAAATATCCAGATAGAAATTTGTCACCCATTCTCAATGGAAAGGTGCCCAAGCAACATTGCTCAAAAAAAGTTCCCCGGCAAAATTGCTCAAAAAGTTGTCCCATGTAAGATCAGCCTAATGCATGAATTCACAGCATTCAAAACACTTCAGTGGGAATCATGTCCATTTGAATGTTAGACTCAATTGTAGAGAACCATAAGCATGCGTGAATATTTGATCTGAATTTAGAAAATTAATAGTGCTTGAATATTTGATTCATTTTCAGTGAATTATAAAAGTGTTTGAATATCTGTTTTGACTTCAAGGAATCATAAGAATGCTTGTATTCAATTTTAGAGAATCATAAGAATGCTTTTATTCACTTTTAGAGAATCATAAGTGTGCTTGAAATATTTGATTCGATTTCAGGTAATCATAAAAGTGCTCGAATATTTAATTCGATTTTAGGGCATCGTAAGCATGTTGAATTTTTTATTTGATTTCAGGGAATCATAAGTTTGAATATCTGATTCAGTGTTAGAGAATCATAAGAGTGCTTGAAATATTTTTAAATTATTTTTGAATTACTCGATTTCAGAGAATGGTAACACTTTATTTTACGGTGTCCTTGTTACACATTACATGTACTTACTATTAAACAATAAATTATGCATAATTACATGCACGTAAACCTACACCTTACCATATAGTAAGTACATGTAGTTAATTAATATTACTCAGTACTTAAATATATAATTACACTTGAACAAGGACACCTTAAAATAAAGTGTAACCCAGAGAATCATAAAAGTGCTCAAATATTTGATTCAATTCTAGAGAATCATAAGAGTGCCTGAATATTTCATTCGATTTTAGTGAATCATAACAGCGCTTTAATATTTGATTCAGTTGTAGAGAATCATGAGCGAATCTGATTCGATTTCAGGTCATCACAAGCATGTTCGAATTATTTGATTCAAGATTTTAGAACACCATAAGCATGACTGACAATTTCACTGGACTTTAGGGAATCGTGAGTATGCTCTCGAATATTTGATTTGATTTTAGGGAATCACGGGAATGCTTGCATATATGATTCGGTTATAGGAAATCATGCGTATTTTTGGATTATTTGAATCGATTTTTATAAGCAAGCACGAATATGTGATTCAATTTGAATCAACATTCGATTCGAACGTTCGATTAATTTCTGAGCATCATAAAGGCGTTCGAACACTCTTCGATTCAATATCTGATTCAGTTTCGATCAGTCGATTCAATTCAGACGTTAAACACGACTTTAATGCCCCAATATTGCTGCCTAGGTAGGTAGCTCATTATGATTTGAGACACAGACAGTAAAGGCGGGTTGGTTTCTGTGCAGTGCAGCCACATGTTAATTCATTAGTCATCTTCAGATAAGATTTACGAAATAAACTCATTGAATGAATCAAGACTGCTCAGAATCCTGCAGCGGCCTCAGTCTCTGAGCTCATCATCACACTCTGATCTCAAATACACTCAACTCGCAGCGTCTTAGATCCGTTTTGCAGTTTAGTACAGCTGTGTAACACCTACTGCATAATCCGCATGTGACAGTCCTAGAGAAACGTGCTGGTTTAAGCCATGGAAGAGGAGCTCGGGAGAAGACTGCTGCTCCCCGCCGCTGCTCCATTAGTCGCTCTGTCTTCTTCTGCGCCTCCGCTGCGAGCGCGCTGAGATCACTGGTGCTGCACTGCGCCATCTAGCGCATCCACCGCGCAAACAACTACAAATACATTATCGAACAACAAACAGTAGGTTTACTTTAGTATTTGTGTAGATTTGTTTTTCTCATACATATTTGTCATATACATATGAAGATGAAAATATAAAGGCATATTACATTATATAATATTATTAAAATTATATATTTAATATTATTCTAAATATATAATCTTTATTTTAAAAATTAATAATTATACGATCATATTTATTAAGTGATGATCTTTTTAAATTAATAATTTTAAGGTGCACTTCTTTTTATTTAATGAGACTGTTAATATACATTTGCCTTGCAATTACCTTAAATTCGCATCCCGCCAGTTAATAAAATATGCATGTCTAAAATAAACAAAAACACAAATAAAAGTAACATTTATACATAAATAAAAAGACAAGTAATATTTTAAGTGTTATTTGTATTATTTATTATTATATATTTTTAAATGCATCCTTTTTATTTTTAAAGTCAGTGGAACTTGATAAGTGGAGAGTGTTTTTTGCTGTAGTTTAAGGTATAGAAATAAAGGAGAAATTATATTTAATATAATATTGAGCTGGATACATTTTGGTGCAGACACGCTTGAGTTATTATGTAAATTTTACTAATTAGCATATTTAAATGTGAATACAGTACAAAAAAACGCACAGCTTGAAGTGAAACTACATTTCCCAATAAACTACTGAGAGAAACAGCCCCCCCCCGAAGAAGAGTTCTGTAACACTGACCTAGAATCAGTTTTAATCGCTAAACACACTGTTCATTCAATGTTATAAGAGTTTGAAAGCTGTTTCAGCATCAGCAGCATGAGCGCATGCGCATTCGAATGACGCACATTGTGTGCGCCTGACGGTAGTGAGCGCGCGGTAAACGGTTTCCGAAGTTCCTCGCGTCTCGTCGTTTCTGAATGCGCTTCTGTCTCTTGTAAACAGTCCGCCGCGACAGTATGTTCACTCCCCGCGGCACACCGAGCTCAGGCCGCAGACAGGCGCCCAGGACCGGCGCTCGGAAGAGCGGGCTGCTGTTCTCTCCACGCCGCTCCGCTGTCACAGCCAGGTACAACAGAGTAAACGCAGAGACAGGGGACGCTACATTTACCATGCTACTATGCTTTTTAAACATACACCACTGTATTGGTTTTTTGTGTATCAAATAAATACCATGGTACATAAATATGATAATTCTTCACTTCAGTACCATGTTACATATCAGTAACGTTACTATCTGATACCATCACAGTCACAGTACTTTTGTGTTCAGTCAAGTTTTTTTTTAATTTTGCAGTTAATAAAAGAATTTCTTTAATTACATGTAATATATTTGCATACATTTCTTTCTTTATATTAAATATATTTTGTTCTATTAATTATAAAAGAATGAAGTAATATATTTCATTTTCGTATTATTGTATCTGAATTTATTTTACGTTTTGTAAATGTACAATAACTCTAAACTTGTTGTTGTCTTTAAAACAAATCTTAAGCCATTTTTTGTAAGAAAAAAAGGTAGCTTATAGAAGTAAATTAAATAAGAACTAAATATAACCAGTTTCTGCTCACTTTTTTTTATTTTAAATTGATTTGTGTATCTCTATTCTTTCTCCAGATCCACTCCCACCCGGGTTCAGAGTCATGCAGCTGTCGAGTCATATAATTTTGACGTTCAGACTTTCGGATCATCTCTGCCTGTCAAAGTCATGGAGGCGCTGACCATGGCCGACGGTAAAGATTGGGGTCTTTAACTTTACAAGAGGCTGTGTTTTTAAAAACCTAGTGAGCTGTCTACCTAGGTGACATTTGTAGGCGTCATTAATGCATTCAAACCAGTGATGGGAGCATTCAAGCTTTGAAACCGCTGTGAATCATTGGTTTTCAACAAGTGATTTGGAATCTGTATCAAACTGCCAAAGTCCTTTGATTGCAGTAAGCAAGGCTCTGTTACGTCATAACAATGGTTTGCCACTAGCAATCTCTGTGGACCGATTTAGATACAAATTTTAGTTTTAGTTAATTACATTTCAAGCTAACTAAATTCAAATTTGCAAATAGTTGAAATAAAATATGTTTAATTTGTTATATTTATTTTCTTTAAGTTAACAATTATTTTCAAGGTTTATATATATATATATATATATATATTAGTGCTGTCAAACGATTAATCGCATCCAAAAAAATGTTGTTTGCATAATATATGTGTGTGTACTGTGTATATCTATTATGTATATATAAATACACACACATGCATGTATATATTTCAGAAAAATTTTGTTTATATATTAAATATATTTATTTATAATATAAATTATATGAATATAAATATATTATATAGACATTTAAATGCATGTAAATATTTTCTAAATATATACTGTATGTGTGTGTATTTATATATACATAATAAATATACACAGAACACACACATATTATGCAAACAAACACTTTTATTTTGGATGCGATTAATCGTTTGACAGCACTAACATATATATATATATGTACACACACACACACACACACAACACACATCCATATATATATATATACACATTTTTTATTTTTTTTTTAAAGAAAATAAATAGATAAAATAGAATTAGAATAGAGAATGCTAGAGTTAGAGGGTAGTCTCTTCCAGTCTCTGCATATACTGGTGTGAAGGTTTCTCAGTATATGATGCTGTGTCTCTTGCAGTGGATGATCAGATCTCTGTGAAGGTGGAGGCGTCCGGCTGGGCCTGGATGGTTTGTGGAGAACGACTGATCATCTGGAAAGTGTCTCAGACGTCTGTGGCAAAGGTCAGAAAGAGGCACAATTGCTTGGAGCTGAATTTGCTGCCAAACTTTGCTGTACAAACATTGTGCTCTTGCTGTCATTATTGCAGCTGTCGGTGTGTAAAGACCTCCAGCTGCCCTCCAGTGAGTTTGCGTACAGCGCTGATCTCATCTCCATCACTTCCTCCAGTCCACTCGATTCTGCACCCACTCAGGTGAGGTCATGCGTCTCTGAACATTACTATCAGTGGAGATTTCTGATGCAAACATGAATGCAAATGTGTTTTTCACAGGCTATCAGTGCATTGGCCGTGTCTCCAGATGGTTCGGCTCGGTTTTGGCCCAGTCTGGCTCATGACGGGACCTACACTGAGACGTCTCTGGATCTGGGCGGACATGTGTGCAACTACGTCGCAGCAGTAAAGGTGTGCAATCAGGCAGAACGAGGAGTGCAGAAGCTTTTATTTTCATATCTCTTCTAGGGCTGGACAATAATTGTGACCCTGGACCACAAAACCAGTCATAAGGGTCAATTTTTCGAAATTGAGATTTATACATCATCTGAAAGCTGAATGAATAAGTATTTGTTAGGATAGGACAATATTTGGCTGAGATACAACTATTTGAAAATCTGGAATCTGAGGGTGCAAAAAATATCAAAATATTGAGAAAATCGCCTTTAAAGTTGTCCAAATGAAGTTCTTAGCAATGCATATTACTAATCAAAAATTAAGTTTTGATATATTTACAGTAGGAAATTAAGAGAATATTTTCATGGAACATAATCTTTACTTAATATCCTAATGATTTTTGGCATAAAAGAAAAATCAATAATTTTGACCCATACAATGTATTGTTGGCTATTGCTACAAATATACCCCAGCGACTTAAGACTGCTTTTGTGCTCCAGGGTCACATTTCAGTATCAATATATATCGTGATATAATTTTTTTATTTCAATAACGGTGATAAGAGTTTTAAACACATTTCCAATATTTCAATATAAATTACCAGTGTTTCCCATACATTGATTTATTTGTGGTGGTTGACTTCGTTGAATAAACATGAGCACTACACATTTCAAAATAAAATCGCAGCACGGGTGTTTTTAGTTTTTTTTTTTGGCGTTTTTGCCCTTTTTTTTTTTTTTTTTTTTGATAGGACAGTAGTTAGACAGGAATCGAAGTTGGAGAGAGAGAGGGGAGACGGGATCGGGAAAGGTCCGCAAGCCGGGACTCAATCACAGGACGCCCGAAGCGCAACGGCGCTACATGTCGATACTAAGAATGTGTCTTTGAAGGGAACCAATTGTCTTCAGAAAAGTTTCGATGGCATTTTCATTTTATCTGATAAAGTAGCATTCATGAGCGCAGTGCTGCTTTGTGTACAGCTGTTACCGGGGAAACATGTTTCTGCCGCTCCAAAAGCGCCTCCTGCTGGCAGAGAATCAATTTGCATTTTTAATAGACCTGTCTCCAGGAATGTGTTTTTGTTGTTGCTCACTCTTTTTTTTCTGTTTTCTGCAGCAACTCTGAGCACTTTTCATATTCTTTATCCAGGCTGCAGCACTTTTGTTTCAATCTATAAGAATAATCAGCCTATGTTATAGTTTAAAGTTAGAGATAATATTTACAATAATAAGGTGAGTCTGAGAGTCTTATGCTTATTTGACAGTGATTTCACATTTCTTGTTTGCATGAAGGCTAAATACAAATAAAAGGTGAACATTAATTTATTTGTACCATTATTATTTCTAAAATATTATATAGGCCTAGTTTTATAGGAGGAGGTTTCATAGACTTGGCAAATTCATTTTTCAGGAGCTTGTAGGTACAGACATCAGTTGTGGGCGTTCTTAATAATAATAAATGTATTTTGTATAGTGCCTTTAAAAGGGTACTTTCTCAAAGCGCTTTACAACACAAGCAAACACAACAATCCAAATTAGAACACAAAAATACAGAATGACAATCAGTTAAAAGCAGTTTTTCTTAGACTTTTTTTTTTAATATTGTTCATATCTATTTTGGAATTATATCGTATCGACCGAAATTTTGTCCATATCGTCCAGCCCTAATCTCTTCTTCCATGAGCTGTTTTCTCTTGCTGTTTCAGGGCGGGAGTTTCATCGTGTCATCGTACCGCGGTCACCTGCTCCGGCTCGCTCCGGACTCCTCCGGTAAACTGCACCAGAGACCGGTTCAGCAGGGTCAGGGGATGCTGTCTGGCATCGGACGCAGGGTTTCCAGCCTGTTCGGCATCCGCGGCCAGCCGGCCGACCTCACGGTCAGTACCGTGTGTTGTTTAGAGGTGGAAGCAGATCATGTGTTCAGACTCTGACGGGACGTTTGGCTCCTCAGGTGTTCAGTGTGCTCTGGGTGAAGGAGACCGGCTGTCTGTACTCTCTCAGCTCGTGTGGCCTCAGTAAATGGGAGGTGGATGAGAACAGTGAGACGCAGGTGTTGAGCTGGAGCACCAGTCAGAGCATCACAGACAGCATCACCAACGCCATCTGGGTCAGAAACCTTTGTTTGGAAGCTTCTAGAATTAACATGCTCTTATGAACATCTGATATAAAAATTCAGGTCATGGCATAGAACCAGAGCAGATTGCTTAAATGGGTCTGTGTTTTCTTTCCACAAAAATATCGAGCAGCACAACAGTTTTCAACATTGATAATAATCAGAAATGTTTCTTGAGCAGCAAATCAGCATATTAGAGTGATTTCTGAAGGATCATGTGACACTGAAGACTGGAGTAATGATGCTGAAAATTCGGCTTTGATTGCAAGGGGGAAAAATACATTTTAAAATATAATCATATAGAAAACAGTTATTTTTAAATTGTATATAATATTTCACAGTATTACAGTTTTTACTGTTTTTATCAAATAAATGCAGCCTTGTTTAGCAGGAAAAAAAAACTTAAAATATGAATTATTCCAAACATTTGACTGGTAGTGTATAATAGTAAAGTTTTTGTGAAAAAACGGTCATGTTTGTTTTCTTTAATGCCCATTTTCTACCCGTTTTCGGACTTTTAGAAATATTTTTTGCTGCTGTGCCCCAAATGCCCTATTTGCATGTGAAACGAGCAACACAGCTTTTATATTTTGTACTTTGTTTTAGTGCTCAAAATAGTTAATTTTTTTATTTAATCTCTTATTATCACCAGGGCTGCATTTATTTGATCAAAAATACAGTAAAAACAGTAACATTTTCTATTTGAATTTCATCTATGTATATATAATTTATTTCTGTGATCAAAGCTGAATTTTCAGCATCATTACTCCAGTCTTTAGTGTCACATGAACCTTCAGAAATCACTCTAATATGCTGACTTTTTTCTAATTATTATCAGTGTTGAAAACAGTTGTGATGAATAATATTTTTGTGGAAACTATAATACATTATTATTTTCAAGATTTTTGCCAGATAGAAAAGTCAAAGGAACAGATTTGAAATCTTTTGTTACATAATAAATGTCTTCACTGGCACTTTTGATCAATTGAATTCATCTTTGCTGAATAAAAGTATTAATTTCTTAATATGTCATATATAGATGTGTGCTTATGTAATATCCTTGACTTGTCTTATAGGACTCAGAAAGTAACTACTCTGAGATCAAGAAAGGAGTGAATGTCTCTTATCTGGACATGCAGTACAGCAAGTGAGTCTTTTGAATATGAAACCGAATAATCATCAGATTAATCTGTAATGCACAGACAGCACATGCAGGATTGGCAGTATTATGCAGTGACATGTTGTGTGTCTCTTCAGAGCGGGGCTGGTGGTGTTGGCAGCGGCGTGGCATCCGGGCAACACTCCATGTGTGACGTATTTCTGCCTGGTCACTCTTGCAGAAAGCACAGCGCCGTCCTCAGACCTGCTCACTGTGGAGGTCACCAAATACAACCCACCCTTCCAGGTACAGCGTTCAAATGATCTGAATCTCTTCCTGGATTGTGAACTGAATGAGCTGAGCTCTGGTTTTGTGCGTCAGAGTGAGGAGGAGCTGCAGAAGACGCGTTTGGTGTTGCCTGATCCGTGGAGTCCAGCGGCGTACCTCTATAATGAGGAGCTGGTGTTCACCTGCAGCACTGGAGCTGGACGCGGAGGACTCGCCGAGGAGAAGATCTCCTTCAGCTCTCCAGGTGCAGCCCTCGGACTGAGAAGACAAATGAAGTGGCTGGTCTTCCTCCTGTAGTTCATCTCTGTTATTTTGCCTGTTGTGCAGGTGACCGTATCCGAGGCGGTGGGGTGTGTGCCGGTCTGCCGGTGTTTTTCTCTCAGAACAGCGGGCTGGTTGCTGTTTTAGCGAGAGAAAGTGCTTCCCTGCTGCCTGAGACCATGGAGGACTCGCTCTGCACCTCAGTGGCTGGACCTGGACCCGAGGTCTGGACCCAATTCACTTAAAGGAGGCCTAATAATATTTTATACACATAATTTTTATATATGTTAAATAGGGCTGCACGATAAATCGCATGCGATATTTAATGCGCATCTTGTCAGAAACACTACACAGAGCCGCGAATATGAACGTGGTTTTGCGCAGCTCGTCAGTGAACAACGGCTCTGTGTAGTTAATGCTGCTCAATGTGAAAGCACGCACGTGATGGAGATTTACCGCTGATTACAGAACCGGCTTTCTGACAAGATGCGTGTTAAATATCGCATGCGATTTATCGTGCAGCCCTAATGTTAAATTATATATATTTACATTGTATGGTGTTTGTTCAAGTAGCTAGAAATCAGAAAATATTTTTCATCTCTTCAGGGCACTCCGTTATACTTTAAAATATAAATATTATATTTTTTCAAAAGATAATTTTGAATTTAGAAATCAGGATTTTGTTTTCTTTTCAGGGCACTTTATTACAATTTATAATGTTATAAATTTAAAAATATAAATATTATTTAAAAAAGGTCATTTTGAATTGTTTGGCAGTTTTTTGTGATTCATTAACTAGTATCTGGCAAAAATATATAATTTATACGTACTGGCACTTCATTATAAATTGAAATGTTATAAATGTAAACATTTATTATATTTTAAATATTTTATGAATTTTTGTGCATTCATGAACTAGTTTCTGGTAAATTATATGTATGTATAAGTTTATAATATTTTAATTTAAGTGACTAAATCAGTTTTTTTTTTTTTAGGGCACTCCATTATATAAAATATAATAAATTTAAAGTGTTTATTATATTTAAAGTATTTTATTAATTATTTCAGTTTATTGTGTATTAATTAGCTAGTCTCAGGTAAAAATAGATATTTCTATAACTAGAAATACATTTAAAAATGTAATTATTTAAAAGAATTAGAATTGTTTGGCAGATTTTTGTCTATTCATGAACTAGTCTCTTGTAAATATATATGTAATTTATATGCATGTATGTATACATTTATAATGTGTTAATTTATTCAAGGAAGTATCTTTTCAGGGTACCCCATTAGAGACACCACCTAAAATAGACATGGTGGCCCAGGAGGACAGAACTAAGCTGCTGAAGCAAGCGTTCCTGCAGTTCTGCCGGTGAGTTTTCTTCACTTGTGTTTGTGAGTGTTGAGTCAGTGACTGCCGCTCACAGATGCTCTGCTGTGCTCTGCTCTGCAGTCATGATCTGGTAGGAACTCAGAGCATGGTGGTCGAGCTCTTCCCCAGCGACGGAGAGGGAGGTGCAGAGCTGGATGCCATCGTGACCCAGATTGACCTGGATCTGGTGGATGACTTCCCTGCATGTGACCCACGCTGGGCCGAGTCTGTTCCTGACGGTGAGAAAACCTTTCATTCTGCCCCATAAATTATAACTTCATTGAAACAGTCCAAAAATTTCTTGCCAACCATGAAAGTGTATTTTTTGTTATTTTTATTAAGTATTTTATTAATAAATCATGTTTATATTTATGTAATTAATACATTATATTTACATTATATTTACACAAAAATAAATTGTTTTCCATAATTAATTTATATGTATTATATAGTGCTGTCAAACGATTAATTGCATCCAAAATAAGTTTTTGTTTACATAATATATGTATGTGTACTGTGTATATTTATTATGTATATATATAAATACACATACAGTATATATTTTGAAAATATTTACATGTATATACATTTATATATTAGGGTTGTGACGGTGAGGAAATTTTCCCACCGGTTAATCGGCGTGTGACAACACCGGTAATACCGGTATCACCGCGGGGGCGATGCATTCCCTCTTTTCCTTGCTTTCCATCGCTTTTAAATAGCTTGTAAAAGCGGTGTGCCCATTTTATTTTCACTTTAAAATAGCGGCAATTCGGAGTAAAGCAATTGTTCGTTAGAATTTTCCTCTTTTCCTCGCTTGCCTTCGCTTTTAGCTTAAAAGCGCCGTGCACATTTTACTTTCACTTTCGAATTAGCGGAAAATCGGCGTCAATTGCTTGGATGCAACAACAAAATACAACCTACTATAAAAAATCAAAACGACGGTGGGGGTCGGTGACGCGGTGGGCAAGTGACGTAACTGGTGTTGCGGCTTAACATCGGTATCACCGTCAACACCGTCTATCGCGGCAAACCTATTATATATTCATATTCTTATATTTTATGTTATATATAAATATATTTATTATATAAACATAACATATTCTTCTTAAATACATGCATGCATGTGTTTGTATTTATATATACATAATAAATATACACAGTACACACATATATTATGTAAACAAAAACTTTTATTATGGATGCGATTAATCGTTTGACAGCACTAGTATTATTTAATATTAAGTATTTAATATAAATAATTAAAATATAATTCCTCATAAAAAATGCAGCATATTTAATAAATACTATTGCCCTTTTTTTGTAGCGTAATCTTTTTAAAAATTATTTAGCTTTTTTTCTGAATACGTGAGCCAGCTATGTCACAAAAAATCAGACACATTGTGATTTTTTTTGTTTGTTTTTGTGGTTTATTGTGGAGAATATTTCACATATGTGTTGTCACTTGGAGTGTAAAAAAAATGAGTTAAAAGTTAAACTTCAGATGGTAAATCCAGAGGTAAAAGATGTTAATTGTGGACCCGGTGGATTTGTACAATTTACCCTTATGACTGGTTTTGTGCTCCAGGGTCACATATGTATTTTTCTCTGCTTTATCTCATGTTTGTGTCTCCAGGTGTCTCAGATCTCCTCCATCTTTGAGTGTCTGTTGGATGAGGAGGAAAAAGCTTTAAAAGAGCATTCGGATGCCGCCAGGTGGGCCGAGGTGGTGCTCAACGTCAATGACATTGTCAAGGTGCACAGCAGTTTTTCTAACTTATTAATTCCTGCATTCAGATAATCTTGAATCAGTGGGCCAGGTTGAACATATCTAGGTACTTGTCATTTTTATCCCATAAAGAGAGAATTTTTGTGAAATATACAGTACTTGTCAAAAGTTTGGAAACATTATGATTTTTAAATGTTTCTGAAGAAAGTCTCTTCTGCTCACCAAGACTGCATTTATGTGCTCAAAAATACATTAAAATCAGTAATATTGTGAAATAGTATTACAATTCAAAAGAACTGTTTTCTATTTGAATATATTGTAAAATGTAGTTTATTCCTGTGATGCAAAGCTGAATTTTCAGCATCATTACTCCAGTCTTCAATGTCACATGATCCTTCAGAAAAGACATGTATAATGTTACAAGAGATTTCTATTAAAATAATACTTTTAAATAATTAAATTAAATCAATCCTGAAAAAAAAAAGTATTAAGCAGCAGTGTTTACAACACTGATAATTTAATATTTAATATAAAATTAATTTTTAAAATGTATTTAATATAAAATTACTTTTTAAATTGATATTTAATAAGTTTTAGAATTTGTAAAGCAAATTGTTAAAATAGTTTTCCTACAAAACTAAATATGCTTATTTGTGTTTTTCTTTTTGCTAAAAACTATAATATTATATGAATACTTTAATATTATATGAATATAAGAAAATCAATGTTAAATCTATTTCATTAATATCTTAGATGCGTCTTAATTTTTACAGACCCAAAAATACATTTTGTAAAATGTTTTTTGTCTCAAATCTTTCAGTGTCCACCTTGACGTCCTTAAGGCTAATATACATGGACTTAAAGCCACAAATCCTCAATTTTAAATTCACGGGGCTCGAAAGAATATTTTACACATAATCTTCCTGGTCTCCGAGATTGAGAGCTGAATAATCATCATGTTTTGTGTTGAAGGATATGCTTCAAGCAGCAGCACAGTACCGAGAGACCAAAGCATCTCTGTACAGAGCGCCAGAGAACTGCGGCCCGGAGCCAGAGTACATCCCATGGACAGGTAAACACTCCTGACAGGACCTGTTTATTTTTTGACCGCCACAGCACTATAAACTAGGGATGCAACGATGAACCGCGAGCCGGTTGAAAATATGTGACTGAGAGGCCAAACAAATCACGATACAATTGGAGTAGGAGTTTATATGAATTTATCTCTGAACTAACTGTCTTTAGAAAGTTTACGTGGTATTTTCTTTTCATCTTGCCTCTGAACGATGCATATTAAAGTAATGTTCATAAGCGCAGCTCTGCTTTGTTTACAGCGGTAACCCAGGAAACACTGTATCATTGCTGTTCATAAGCGCCACCTGCTGTCAGAGTCTCATTCAGCTCGTCTGATGTTTCGTTCAGATGTTTTTATGTAGTATAGTTTCACAAAACTAAAGTCAGACCATTCTGTTTTTGCTTCAAATTTCGAAATTATACAATCTCATTTAGATTAAAGACTGTTCATGCTGCATGTATGCTGCATCTTTGTTTGGATCATGATTAAAATGCAGTGGTTTCCTCTCATTTTAAATGGAAAGAGCACAGACAAAGCCTTAGTTTGTTCATATGAAGAGATTTCTTTTATTTGTGTAACTTGCTTATTTGATTTGAGGTTTGTTTTAAAATTTCATTTAAGTTTTGTTATATGTCAATTTCACAAAGAAACGTGCAGCAATAGCCTAATAAAAGGACACATTTTAATTTACTGTATAATGTCTTCGATCTCATTTTGTTATAAAAAATCTTGAGAAAATCGAATCGTGAATCGAATCGTGAGTTGAGTGAATCGTTGCATCCCTACTGTAAACACAAGAGCAGGTCTCCACCAGTATGAGCGTCATAGTTTCTTCCTCTCAGCCTCAGGAGGAGCGGGTGGAGTCCGGACCGTCATCACGCGGCAGCACGGGCTGATCCTGCACGCGGCGTATCCGCACGCAGACGTAGAGTTGCGCGCCGCACTGAGCGAGCAGCTGGTGGCGCTGTTGGACTCTCTGTTGAGCGGTTACGTGGCTCAGCTGACATCTCTCCGCCGCGCCGGACAACAGGAGCGCTACGTCATGCTGGAGAACGAGTACATGCAGAAACGCTCGGAGCTGCTCGCGCCTCTCTGTGAGCTTACATTGGTGTTGTGATTGCTCACTTTTGTGTCTCTTCCTGTCTGTGTGGCCAGAATAAGCTGCAATTCGGAGCAGATTATGTGCTTAACATATTTGTGTTGTCTGTGACTGTGGCAGTGGAGTTGGGTCAGCATCAGTGGGTTGCGGCGCTGGCGGAGAAATACTGTGACTTTGACATATTGGTGCAGTTGTGTGAGCGGACGGATAACCAGAGTCGACTACAGCAGTACATGGTCAAATTCGCTGATCAGGTAACAAACCCACCGGCCCAACAACTCTGAAATGTCAACACAAACCATATACACGTGAAGCAGCACAACTGTTTTCAACATTGGTAATAATCAGAAATTTTTTGAGCAGTAAATCAGCATGTTAGAATGATTTCTGAAGGATATCAGTGGGTTGCGGCGCTGGCGGAGAAATACTGTGACTTTGACATATTGGTGCAGTTGTGTGAGCGGACGGATAACCAGAGTCGACTACAGCAGTACATGGTCAAATTCGCTGATCAGGTAACAAACCCACCGGCCCAACAACTCTGAAATGTCAACACAAACCATATACACATGAAGCAGCACAACTGTTTTCAACATTGGCAATAATCAGAAATTTTTTGAGCAGTAAATCAGCATGTTAGAATGATTTCTGAAGGATCATGTGAAGGCCTTTCCACACTGAGCGCGAAAAAGCGAAACGAATATCGGACACAGTGAGGCACTGGAATAAAACAACAGATTCCTATGGATGCATAGACCACGAACATTCGTGCACCAAAAATGCGAATATTTTTTTTCGAACCAGTTCGGCAAATCTTTTCAGTTTCGCAAAGCGAAAACTAGGGTTGTGCCGATAGACGATAGTCAGAGATATCGACGATAGCAGATGTCTTTGTCGATAGTCAAGACGATATTAGGCTCATTCTCCTATTCATGTATTAAATTACTATTATTATTATTATTCAGCGATTGTATGACTGTTGTATCCGAATATATATGAGCTATCTGTTTTAAATATTTTTATATTTAACATGTTAGTTTATCAGTATGTTTAAAAGTATATTATTTAGATTAGTGGTGCTTCCACGCAACAGAGGCTTTACTCTCTCGCACGCGGTTTAAAACACCAAATAGTTATGTAATAGCCTATGACAAGTAAAGAGAGTCTCTCTCTTGCCCCACCCACCCATGCACGATAATATCGTGTATCGCGATCTCACAGGCTGGCGATATGAAAAATAACCATATAGCCCAACACTAGTGAAAACACGGGCTGTCCAGTAAGATTTGAGCATTACATCACATGGCCAGAGCAACTGCTGTTACCCAAAAGATTGACGCGGTGGTGCTAAAAGCTCAGAAGACTGTATTGAGCACGAGCGTAAAAACACCAAAGTAGAGGACTTTCAACCAACATACAGAGAATATGGATGTCGAGATGATGTTGTCGTTGGCGTCTGAACATATATCGTATAAATATAAATATATCTCTATTTTCTGTACATGTCTTTATGCAGCTCATGGTATTTTTATAACAATAAGGGATGTTTATGACAAATGACAAGCAGGTAGCATTCAGTCCATTATAACATACAAAGAATGCATGTCTGCCTATTATAGAATCAAAATCCATTTTAGATCAATCAGAAGTTATTACAAGCACTCGATGATGGTTTAAAGTGGGGTTTGAGCAAAAACATTAATTACATAGCTTTTGAAATGTAGCTTGATGGTAATTGTACCTCTAATTATATTTTCTTGTAAGCATTATGGATAGTTTGTGTTTCTGATGAACCAAAAGTTATTTATCTTAATTTAATGCTGCATATTGAGCAGTGGACGATGTTAAATCCATATATACGAGATGCATAGGCTACATGAGGAAAAATGCATTGCTGGTCGGCGCCACCTAGCGTGCAGGCGTGAATTAGCACAAGGCGATTAATCGTTTCGCGCTCGGTGTGAAAGCAACGTTCGTCGGCGATTCACCTCGCGCTCAATGTGAAATGGCCGTGACACTGAACACTGAAGTAATGATGCTGAAAATTCAGCTTTATCATCAGTGGAATAAATTACAGTTTAAGATATGTTCAAATAGAAAACAGTTATTTTAAATTGTATATAATATTTCACAATTTTTAACGTTTTTTGTTCATTTTGATCAAATAAAGGCAGCCATGAAGAGCATAAGAGGCTTCTTTCACAAACATCGATCCCAAACTTTTAACCGCTACTGTATTATCAACAGATGCTTCTGGATTGTGTAGTTTGAAGTAGCTTTTGGCCAGTTGAGAATATTTCAATATTTGTAGAACTGTCTTTTGTTTAATTAAAGAGTATTGCACACGGACACTTTGAAATTCTTGCAGTGCAGTTCCAAGAAAAATATACTGAAATCACAGTTGTTTTACGGTGCCTGTGCCAAATGCATTTACTCGCAGCCCTCCCTGTTTCCTGTAGAACTTCGCTGACTTCCTGTTCCGCTGGTACATGGAGAAAGGCAAGAGAGGGAAGCTGCTGTCTCAGCCAATAGCAACGCACCAGCAGCTGGCCAGTTTCCTGCAGGCTCACGATCACCTCAGCTGGCTGCATGACATACATGTGCAAGACTATCAGAGAGTAAGAGAAGAAAAAAAAGGAATAAAATAAATACATATTTAATTTGTATTTTTTTATATATATACGCTAAAGTGCACACCACGAGGTTACCGACACTTGTAGTGTTATAAATGCTTTGTTCTCTTCACGACAGGCCCATCGTACCCTGTACAGTCAGGCCAACACGGAGACTCGGTACTTCAGCAAGAAGAAAACCCTGCTGGCCCTCAGCAAACTCACAGCTCTGGCGTCAGACATGCCTGAAGCCGTGCACCGCAGACAGCTCAACGGTCAGTCATAAACCGTCAGTCTTAAAATCTGTTTTAGTCCATATAAAATGGATTTCATATTTTTATTATTTTCTTACTTTTTCTCTATGTCCCACCAAGCATTTTTAGACAATTCATCATCAACAGAAGGAGCAAATGATGCATGCTTTATGTATTTTATCATTGTGTAGACACGGAGAATAATGTGAGTTTATGCTCAATTTGTCAGGCCTAGTGAATATCACATTAACCTGTGGTGCTCATGCAAGCGACATGGGTTCAAATCTGACCTGCATTTCCCTCTCTTCCTCCCCAAATAAACTCTTGAGCCCCTAAATATTTGATCAGTTTATGCCATGTGAAATCTCTGAAACATAATTGCTGTTGTCCGGTGTGTGTTGGTGTAGATATAGTGGAGCAGGAGAGGTTTCTGCTTCATCAGGAGACTCTTCCTAAACAGCTGCTGGACGAGAAGCAGCTGAACCCAGACAGCATGCCTCTACTGAGCCCTCGTAACCTCATTAATGTGAGTAAACTACAAAAATACTGCGGTCACGTGCATTTGGCAGCCGTTTTTAATTCCTTCAGACTTCTTCATCCTCATTTCTCTTGCCTTGTCTCTCTTTTCCTTGTGTCCAGCTGTACATCTGCGATGAGAACCGTGGAGCCAACGAGTACGACTTCAAGAAAGCTCTCGATCTGCTGGAGTACTTGGAGGAGGTATCTGTCAATAATAGACTACATTAAAAACAAGTGCCTTTTCTGAGCACATATGTTTCTGATGTGTATTCATCACCTGTAGGAGGACGCGGTTGATATTGATGCCCTAAAACGGGAGATCTTCAGTAAAGCCTTGAAGAAAGACTGGAAGGAGAGGTGAGCATCTCAAAACTCACTCCAATGAGATTAGTGTTGAGGTTTCGTTTTACTCGACTATAATGGTCTTGCAATGACCGGCTGATGGATTGGTTGCAGTTGGGCATCGTCTGATGATAATGACGATCCTCTAGAAGCAGCCAGAGACAGCACTTTCGTCAAGATCCTACAGAAACTCATCCAGGAAGGTGCGGTGACTCTCTTTTCTGCTAATCACACACTCACAGTTGTTCTAGAAGTTTGTCTTGAGGTTTCAAAGTAGTTTAGGGCTTATTTGAGACTTGATTTTAGCAGGTATGAAGTATACAATATGGTATCTTACATCCAAAGCTTGGACAACCCTACTTCAGGACATGTAGTTACAATGCAAAATCTGCATATTCAGCCAGAGTGTGTTTTGTGTTTGTGCACACAGGTGTTTCTCTGCAGTCGTACCTGCCTGACGTGAAGGATCTTCTGCAGGAAGACGAGCTGGAGAGTCTCAAATCAAAACCGTACTTTGAGTTCCTCCTGCGAGCCAATTGGATGTTTATGACAAATGACAAGCAGGTAGCATTCAGTCCATTATAACATACAAAGAATGCATGTCTGCCTATTATAGAATCAAAATCCATTTTAGATCAATCAGAAGTTATTACAAGCACTCGATGATGGTTTAAAGTGGGGTTTGAGCAAAAACATTAATTACATACATTTTGAAATGTAGCTTGATGCTAATTGTACCTCTAATTATATTTTGTAAGCATTATGGATAGTTTGTGTTTCTGATGAACCAAAAGTTATTTATCTTAATTTAATGCTGCATATTGAGCAGTGGACGATGTTAAATCCATATATACGAGATGCATAGGCTACATGAGGAAAAATGCATTGCTGGTCGGCGCCACCTAGCGTGCAGGCGTGAATTAGCACAAGGCGATTAATCGTTTCGCGCTCGGTGTGAAAGCAACGTTCGTCGGCGATTCACCTCGCGCTCAATGTGAAATGGCCGTGACACTGAACACTGAAGTAATGATGCTGAAAATTCAGCTTTATCATCAGTGGAATAAATTACAGTTTAAGATATGTTCAAATAGAAAACAGTTATTTTAAATTGTATATAATATTTCACAATTTTTAACGTTTTTTGTTCATTTTGATCAAATAAAGGCAGCCATGAAGAGCATAAGAGGCTTCTTTCACAAACATCGATCCCAAACTTTTAACCGCTACTGTATTATCAACAGATGCTTCTGGATTGTGTAGTTTGAAGTAGCTTTTGGCCAGTTGAGAATATTTCAATATTTGTAGAACTGTCTTTTGTTTAATGAAAGAGTATTGCACACGGACACTTTGAAATTCTTGCAGTGCAGTTCCAAGAAAAATATACTGAAATCACAGTTGTTTTACGGTGCCTGTGCCAAATGCATTTACTCGCAGCCCTCCCTGTTTCCTGTAGAACTTCGCTGACTTCCTGTTCCGCTGGTACATGGAGAAAGGCAAGAGAGGGAAGCTGCTGTCTCAGCCAATAGCAACACACCAGCAGCTGGCCAGCTTCCTGCAGGCTCACGATCACCTCAGCTGGCTGCATGACATACATGTGGAGGACTATCAGCGAGTAGGAGAATAACGGAATAAAATAAATACATATTACATTTTTATTTGTTTTTTATACACTAAAGTGCACACCACATGGTTACTGTCACTTGTAGTGTTCTAAATACTTTGTTTTCTTCACGACAGGCCCATCGTACCCTGTACAGTCAGGCCAACACGGAGACTCGGTACTTCAGCAAGAAGAAAACCCTGCTGGCCCTCAGCAAACTCACAGCTCTGGCGTCAGACATGCCTGAAGCCGTGCACCGCAGACAGCTCAGCGGTCAGTCGTGTGCCTTCGCATGTGTTTGGAAGACATATTGACTCTTTGATTTGTCTAAAATTCTGTTTTAGTCCATATAAAAGGGAGTTCTCTTTTTGTCATATTGCAACAAGCATTTTTAGTGTTAGTACATCAACAGAACGTGGAGCAAATGATGCATCTTTCTTCTGTAGACACAGAGAATAATGAGAGTTGATACTCAGTTTATCTGGCCTAGTGATTAGCACATTGAGCTCTGGTGCTCATGCGGGCGACATGGGTTTGAATCGGACCTGCATTTCCCTCCCCAAATAATCTCTCGAGCCCTAAATATTTCTGATATATAATCGTTGTCGTCTGGTGTTTTTCCCATGTGTGTTGGTGCAGATATAGTGGAGCAGGAGAGGTTTCTGCTTCATCAGGAGACTCTTCCTAAACAGCTGCTGGACGAGAAGCAGCTGAACCCAGACAGCATGCCTTTACTGAGCCCTCGTAACCTCATTGAAGTGAGTAAACCACAAAAATACTGTGCTCATGCGCTTCCTCCTCATTTTTCTTACTTTATGTCTGTCTTTTCCTCGTCTCCAGCTGTACATCTGCAGTGAGAACCGTGGAGCCAACGAGTACGACTTTAAGAAAGCTCTCGATCTGCTGGAGTACTTGGAGGAGGTATCTGTCAATAATAGACTACATTAAAAACAAGTGCCTTTTCTGAGCACATATGTTTCTGATGTGTATTCATCACCTGTAGGAGGACGCGGTTGATATTGATGCCCTAAAACGGGAGATCTTCAGTAAAGCCTTGAAGAAAGACTGGAAGGAGAGGTGAGCATCTCAAAACTCACTCCAATGAGATTAGTGTTGAGGTTTCGTTTTACTTGACTATAATGGTCTTGCAATGACCGGCTGATGGATTGGTTGCAGTTGGGCATCGTCTGATGATAATGACGATCCTCTAGAAGCAGCCAGAGACAGCACTTTCGTCAAGATCCTACAGAAACTCATTCAGGAAGGTACAGTGACTCTGCTAATAACACTCACAGTTGTTCTAGAAGCTTGTCTTGAGGTTTCAAAGTGGTTTAGGCATATTTGAGACTTGCTTTTAGCAGATATTAAGTATGCAATATAGCATCTTACATCCAAAGCATTGGCAACCCTACTTTAGGACATACAGGGATTGAATTACAATGCAAAGTCTGCCTATACAGTCAGAGTGTGTTTTGTGGCCACAGGTGTTTCTCTGCAGTCGTACCTGCCTGACGTGAAGGATCTTCTGCAGGAAGATGAGCTGGAGAGTCTCAAATCAAAGACATACTTTGAGTTCCTCCTGCGAGCCAACTATGAGCACTACCTGAAAGCTCACATATGACATTACTTCCTGTTTCTACTTATTGTTTCCTTGTTAATATTCCAACTTTGTTTCAGAAAAATAATAATAATTACATGATCCATTATCCAGAATTTTCTGAATAAACTGTATTTCTGTAATTGATGGCAGACAGTTCTTAATGCTTTTCTTCTGCTGCAAGACAAAGATAGAAAGAATAACAAAGCCAAATAGTGCTCACCAAATGGAGATGTTAGCTTGGGTTTTATGGTGTTTTCTTAATGGTGAACCCAAAAGTATTTGGATTGTTAGGCCACACTCTAAGATGTCTGAATGTCATTGCATTAGATTTACCAAATTTACTCTGCAAAGGTGACGCAAAAGCGCTTCTGAAGTGGCATAAATGCATTTTATTCAGTAATTACAACTGTATGCTTTGATATTAGGGGCTGAGGAGGGTCAGAGTAGGCCAAATAAGTGGATTTTATGCAAAATATATTGAATTTTATATTGAATTTTGAGCTGGCACAAAGTTGCATTAAAGTGACCATTTTATATAAGCACATGCACAAGACATTTCACAAAAAAGATAAAACTATTGATATAACATTCAAAATGAAGCTCATTTGTGTTTGTCATTAATGGACTGTTCAGCTGACTTCATGCATCACCAACACTAGTTTATCAAATCTAAAATCATGCACAAATGTTTCAGAAAAGTTTTGCCTGCGTTTGCTTGCAGATGCCAATTGGTTAGATATCTACACTCTTAAAAATAAAGGTGCTTCACGATGCCATAGAAGAACCTTTTTGTCTAAATGGTTCCATAAAGAACCATTAACATCTGAAGAACCTTTCTGTTTCACAAAAGCTTCTTTGTGTTGAAAGAAGGTTCTTCAGATTATAAAAAGGTAAGAAAGATATGGTTTTTTAAAGAACCTTTGACTGAATGGTTCTTTGTGGACCCAAACATGGTTCTTCTATGGCATCGCTGTGAAGAACCTTTTAAGCGCCTTTATTTTTAAGAGTGTAATGCTGTAATACAGACATTCTTAAGTGTCCAAATTGGGCAAGGCTTTATTTGAGAACGTCTTGTTGTTTTCTTTCACTCATCTCGTCTTCATCCTCCAGCAGCTGGTGTGAGAAGAGCAGCTGAACTGATGGAGAAGCAAATTTCTCCCCTGAGCTCCTAAAAATAGGGAAGAGAGGGTAAAATTAGTGGCGTCTGCAGTAAATAAGCTGCACTTTACGGGGGTTCTCTGACACCCTATATGGGGTGGGAGCCTCTGGAATCCCTAAGGACTCTAGATAAACTGTCTGGAACTAGAGGAGGAAATATGATACTCACTTGTTTATGATGTGGCATTAGGCTTGGCATCAAACTTCACCGAGACGCCCATAGGGTCATGCTTGTCTAATGGTCATCTAATGACTGTCTAATTTAATATACATCTCCAAATAAAAGAAGGTAAAACCTCATTATAATATCCTGTTCCTGTTCTCAGAAAGGCAGAGAGGGTTGCTTAGTGTCTATTTTGATAATATTGGTCATTGGTGATACTTAAACCATGATTTAACAACACTTCTTTACGCTGATGAACAAGCTGAAGAAAATACATTGCCAGCTTTCTTTTGATGATGATAGTATATTTTAAGGGCTTAATATGGTGACTGCATTGTTCAGTTATAGACGTCAGGCTCAAGTAGGAGATTTTCCAAGCTTCTCCCCTTCATCCAGTGGCTTTCTATGGGAAAGGAAGAAGTTGAAAAGAACAGTTATCCCAGTGCCACAGACTGACTAAATCCCTCATTTATTTCAGAAATGCCATGTTTATAGGCTTTACATTGGTCAGTTCATGCAAACTAAGCCACTTTTTGCCAGTGCAACTGACTTTCAAAAAATGGCCCAATTTATCTAATTGTGCCTGATTTAATACACTGCAAAAATTTACATTTTTAATAACTCCTGATTTCGCTGTCATCGTTTAAATTAGTCTATAATATCTCAATGTGATGCTGGAGCACAAAAGCAGTCATAAGTAGCGCGGGTATATTTGTAGCAATAGCCAACAATACATTTTATGGGTCAAAATTATAGATTTTTCTTCTATGCCAAAAAACCTTAGGATATTAAGTAAAGATCAAAATTATAGATTTTTCTTTTATGCCAAAAATCCTTAGGATATTAAGTAAAGATCATGTTCCATGAAGATATTTTGTAAATGTCCTACCGTAAATATATCAAAGCTTAATTTTTGGTTAATAATATGCATTGCTAAGGACTTCATTTGGACATCTTTAAAGGCGTTTTTCTCACTATTTTGATTTTTTATTTTTTTGCACCCTCAGACTCCAGATTTGCAAATAGTTGTATCTCAGACAAATATTGTCCTATCCTAACAAACCATACATCAATGGAAAGATTATTTATTCAGCTTTCAGGTGATGTATAAATCTCAATTTCAAAAAATTTGACCTTTATGATTGGTTTTGTGGTCCATTGTACAACCACAGAAAAATAAGCTATTTACATTTATATATTTGGCAAATATTTTTATCTAAAGCAACTTGTATTACATCCAATGTGTATGTCGAATTCATTGACATTTTCATTTGAGCATTGGTGAAATGTAGCTAATGATAAACGATCATAACCCACCACTGCCATGCCCTTATATTGAGATCTAGTCCACAAACGCCCAGTGTTGGCCTCTGAGTCCACTCCTACGGTGGCCTTGCGCCCGCCCGCCCGCTGTGGTTTGGGGTCTGGAGCGCCATATATGGAGCCCCTCCTCTCGACCCACCGACACCCAAATATGGACGAGGATCGGGAAGAATTCAATTTGAATGCATGGACATTCCTTAATGGCTGTCCGCAGAGCAGGAAAGCAGAGGACGGGTGTATATAAGATGGTCCGTGCGCGGGTCATCGTGTAGCAGGCACTTCAGTTTGACTTGCGACTCTGAGCACAAACAGCACACAGGTAAGCAAACTATAAGAACAGCAATTCAGAATTGGAAACTTTACGATGTGAATGGAAGGATTTGACGCTAATCATTTTACAGCGGTTTCGCTTTTGACTGACTTTTAAAATAAAGTCGTAACTTTTTTATTCACTTAGGCTATTGCACTAATATCATAGAAACTTTTCTCTGTATATTTTAACTGTACATAAAAAAAAAACATTTAAAGTGATCTTTAACTATTTAAACCTGCAATTGTAGGCTAATTATGTTGCAGTATGCAATTAATTTAGCATATGTTTACGATTATTGTATCATATTCGTGCAAATAGAAATTCAAATCGTATTTGACAAAAAAAAATTAACTGTTCTCACATATTTTCATTCAGTTTACACTGCGCTATTTAGTAGTGTTAAAGGTTACTTTTATTACAAGAAGTTACCTTATTTAAAGTGTAATAAGTAGTGTAACTATTTCAATTAGCCTACTTTATTAATGTAACTGATTAGAACAGCAATTCAGAATTGGAAACTTTACGATGTGAATGGAAGGATTTGACGCTAATCATTTTACAGCGGTTTCGCTTTTGACTGACTTTTAAAATAAAGTCGTAACTTTTTTATTCACTTAGGCTATTGCACTAATATCATAGAAACTTTTCTCTGTATATTTTAACTGTACATAAAAAAAAAACATTTAAAGTGATCTTTAACTATTTAAACCTGCAATTGTAGGCTAATTATGTTGCAGTATGCAATTAATTTAGCATATGTTTACGATTATTGTATCATATTCGTGCAAATAGAAATTCAAATCGTATTTGACAAAAAAAAATTAACTGTTTTCTCACATATTTTCATTCAGTTTACACTGCGCTATTTAGTAGTGTTAAAGGTTACTTTTATTACAAGTTACCTTATTTAAAGTGTAATAAGTAGTGTAACTATTTCAATTAGCCTACTTTATTAATGTAACTGATTACATTTGATTACGTTTTGATTACTTTTCTAAATTTCTTATGTTTTCAAGTTTTAATCATATTCAAACATGTAAACCAGGCAGGGTTAACCTTACAATAGAGCTCAACACTGATTACTGTCAGGCTTGAAAATTCCCTCATCACTTGAATTAAGATTATAATAATTGAATTTTAAAGCACAGCCACCAAAAAATCTGACTTTAGCACCTCTTTTAAGATCGTTCTGAGGCAAATACAGATTTAAACTCATAACAAGATATGGCCTAGTTTAATAGCTATGATACTGTTTTTGAAATCAAATCTTTGCATAGCTATGACAGGAAACACTGCCATCTAATAATGCCTTGGAAAAAAAACAGTTAATCTAAAAAAAAGTTCATAACTGTAATTTAATTACACATTTTTCTCAGTAACTGTAACTGATTACAATTACATTTATTTTGTAATTAAATTACGTAATTTAGCTACATGTAACTAGTTACTCCCCAACGCTGTAAGTATGCTATAATTAAGCAGCACTTAACTGTATACATTTAAGACTAATATTCATTAATGCAGTTTCTCAATGTAAACTAAACATTTTGCTAGCTTGGTTTGGAAAACGCAGTCAGTTCTCAACAAATTTGGTTATCAGTTTGAGTGATGATGTTGTCGGGGTTGTAGTGTCCTCATTTACTTTATTTGTAGAACCCATCACGATGTGTGACGACGACGAGACTACAGCTCTGGTGTGCGACAACGGCTCTGGCCTGGTCAAGGCTGGTTTCGCCGGCGATGATGCTCCCAGGGCTGTCTTCCCTTCCATCGTCGGCCGCCCACGTCACCAGGTACATACAGAGATCCTTACTGGATTTGTATTTGTCATTAAGAGAATGATTGTATGGGGTTTCCTTGGGCTATTCTGATCATGTTGTACTCAATGCTCCCCTTCAGGGTGTGATGGTCGGTATGGGTCAGAAAGACTCCTACGTTGGAGACGAGGCTCAGAGCAAGAGAGGTATCCTGACCCTGAAGTACCCAATCGAGCACGGCATCATCACCAACTGGGACGACATGGAGAAGATCTGGCACCACACCTTCTACAACGAGCTCCGTGTGGCCCCTGAGGAGCACCCAACCCTGCTCACCGAGGCCCCTCTGAACCCCAAAGCTAACCGTGAGAAGATGACCCAGATCATGTTTGAGACCTTCAACGTCCCCGCCATGTACGTGGCCATCCAGGCCGTCCTGTCCCTGTACGCTTCTGGCCGTACCACCGGTAAGACAACGTGCTGTAAATGAAAGAGCAACATTTATGTTATTACACACAGTGCATTTAAAGCAACTGTAATTATATATTTGTGATCCTGGAGCACAAAACCAGTCTTAAGTCGCTGGGGTATATTTGGAGCAATAGCCAACAATACATCGTATGGGTCAAAATTAACGATTTTTCTTTTATGCCAAAAATCATTAGGATATTAAGTAAAGATCATGTTCCATGAAGATATTTTGTAAATTTCCTACCGTAATTATATTAAAACTTAATTTTTGATTAGTAATATGCATTGCTAAGGACTTCATTTGAACAACTTTAAAGATGATTTTCTCAATATTTTAATTTTTTTGCACCCTCAGATTCCAGAATTTC